CTGCAGTTGTATGAAACCCCATAAAAGGGTTCAGTATCATGTGCCATGTCCTGCAAAACACATCACCACAGCTCTTCCAAACAGGACAACATTCAAGGCACAGAAGTAGAGGAATTATCCTTCCTCCCAGTTCAGTGGTGCATCCTGAAATATGGATATACTTTTTTATCTTTTTAAATATATTTTTTTGGGGGGTGGGGGTAGGGGAAATATAGATGTGTTTGAAAATGCACAGTTCTGCGGTTTAAAATAAAGGCACCACAAACAAAACATAATGCTACAGAATTAGTTTTCTGTTGCCTTCTGTAATTTAATGTTTAAATAGACCAAATTAAAACAAGAACAAAAACCAAATGTGAATAATAATGAAAAGAAGTGACCAAGGATTTAATGAAGATACATTTGTTTGCACAAGCAAACATTATTGCTTCAAGCTAAATCATTTTCACAAGGCATGTTCAATGTATACAGAACCATAAAGAGGCAATGTTCATTAACAAGAAGCTTATTTATATATAAAAATAAATACTAAATGCATTCATACTTTGTTAGACACAAAAGTAGAATTGTGTGCAAACAGTATTGGATGCATTTGTAAAGATTCGTTAAAATTGTACAGTTAAGATCCTTTTGAAAATGTAGCTGAGATAATTTACTTGAAAGGGCATGACACTGAGAGGAGTCAGCCTCCCTTCTCTAGCTCTCCGAGTCAGCAAAAGTACTTCCTCATGTAAAGCCCAGCTTTGCTTCCTATATGCAAGATTACTTAAGAGTCTACTGCAAAGGGCTTTGCTCAGAACACTGCTCCTTGAAAACACTTAAGGCACATCTGTAGGATGATTTCTAACTTTTCATATTGCATAACTATATCATATACACTATATATTTTTGTGATTTTAAATCAGGAGACCTAGTGCCTCTACTTTGTATTGCATTTTCCAGTTTTGCATACTTGCATTCGGGTTTCTTAATCTTTCACAGGTCAAGTAACTATGGCAAAGATCTCATGACTTGCCTTTTATTGCTGTACTTTTAAGTATGAGTTTCCCTAGCAGGTCTTTCCTTTGTGATTTCCCTATTGCCTACAGGGACAAATGTATTGCTGTAAGAATAAAAACATTAATAGGAAGCATCCTACAACAAAACATCATTGACTAAAGTCATCCCAAAGAGCATTATCATAAAGCTGATAGGGATAAAGACTGTTCCAAGTCCATCTGTCAGGAAAGAGCTGAAAGTTCAGAAATATGTTCTTACAGACCTTTAGAACAAACAGAAAAACAGCATTTTCATTAAAAGCACATTAAAACCATAAAACGTACTGTAAATAATATTCAAAAAAATTCAAGACACAGCAGTTACAGATTATCAAAGGGAGAGACATTTGAAAAGCAAAGTTTGTGGGGTTTTTTTTGGGTTTTTTTGGCAATACTAGCAATTTTGGCACAAAGGCAAATGCAGAAGATAGAGAAAAACAGGCAGACAGGGTACAGAGAAAGGTTACAGAATCTACAACAAGCATGCCACAGTTCAGCAAGACCAAAAGCACAGTAGGAGTTTTCCCCAACTTCCCTTCCCCAGAGAGAATGGCATCCATCACTCAAAAGCTTGTTGCCACTTCCCAAACTGAAGGATTGATGTATGTTGCAAGAGCCAGAGTGACCATAACCTCCCTGGGAACATCCTTTGTAACCACCACATAAGATGCTATGCAGGCTCTCTGGCAACCAGGCATAACCCTCACCAAGAAGGGTGATCCTAGATGACTGTTTCAAAAAACCTCAACTTGCTTATCACAGATTGTGCCCTGCAACTATCATCATTACAATACAAAAGCAGACAAAAGATATTTGAGTGCTAGCTAAGATTGCAGCCACCCAGCGAGGGACTGACATCTTAGCAAAATTAATATATGCCAGTCAGGTTAGTAACATATCACAAGTGTTTGCTGTGACCGATCATATCTCAGCTGACCAAACCTCCAGAGTATTTTGTGCTTGAATATATTTTAAGCACTAATCTGGCTAAAAAAGAAGAGGCCAGATTTGGTGGCACAACAAAATAGGCAGTGAGTGTAGAGGGGAAATCCACACAAGTTAAATCCATTTGGGATTCCATGGCAGCTAAAAAGCAGGCCTTGCACAAATCACCATTAAGCTCAACGGCCAAGCACTTTGCTAACTCAGGGCTGAATTTATCTCAGAGATACAAAATTTAGTAACAGTGGAGTTTTTGTCTTGTATATTCTTTTACTATTTTTTACTGTACACCTTCTTTTTGCCCTATAAACTATCTTTATATCTTAATCAAATATCAGACCGGCACATCTTAAATTTTTCTTAATAATTTTAGACACAACTTACAGTCCACATCAATATCCACCTCACTGCTGAAGACTGGCTGAGACCTTAGGGTCTGAAATTCCTATTGCTAAATTTAATTTGGTGGCACTTGCCTTAAGTGGTCACACATTTTCAGAGGTATGACTTAAATTAGCTGAGTCCACCAGATGGGTGAAGTGGAACCTTGGAAACAGCTGTTTCAATTTTAGAAAGGTTTTTGCTCAAGTATTTGTCTACTCTACAGAGAAAGCAAAATGTCTAGGCTCTTAAACAAACAATTTAATAAACTGCAGGAAAGCAGATAGTTCAAAGTCAAGAGTTATACTGAGATGCAATCTTATACACTCTTCTTGATTATTCAGGGAAAATACCCTATTCTTCCACTGGATTATCAAGCAAAAGGGTTTGGTTTGTGGGTGGTTTTTTTTCAAACTGTAAACACATGACAGGTTTCCTGACCTACGTACCCAGCAAGAACAGGAGCTAGAGGTAGATAACTACAGGACATGACTTATGCTAACAAAGAACTGACCTGCCTTTCATGACACTGTGGCTTGCTTTTAAAGTACACTGCATTTCACCTTCTCTCACTTCTTAACCATTGTTAGGCCAGTAGTTTTAAGAAATACTTAGAATCTACTTCACAAAGAAAAGGCCACCTCAGCCACTGATGGCATTTTTCTAGCAGAAAGGGGGAGGACAACAGAGGCACTACCCACTGTTCTGCCATTAAGAGTACTCCTGTCATACACACACAAGAATGCACCACAATACACCACCTTGAAGATAACTACCGTTACACACTGCTTTAGAAAAGCAGAATGCAAACAGAATGAGCCCTAGATTTCAAGTTTTGCCATTTGATAAAATGGAGTCTTTTCCGTTTTACTTGTATAGAAGTACTACAGTTCTGCTAACAGTTTGTGCCATCACTACATAAAGAGAGATGGAAACATCTGATTTATAGAAGTTTCTACCAAACCATGGCCTATTGCTTGCTCTACTTAGTGGTCACTTAGATGCCATTTACTGAATGCTCATTTATGAAAGTGAGTAATAACATTTGATCATTGGAAGGACTAAATCAGAGGAAGGAGACTGCCAGCAATTGCTTTGATAAACTAATTTATATATATATATTTATATATAGCTATACTCCACTTCTGCCACTTCTCATTAACAATGAGCTCCACAAAATACCTTATTCTCACACCAGAGGCCCTATGCTTCAATAAATATTTTTTTCCATTTATCTTAAATATGCTTCAGTCAAAAAAGCCCTCAAAACTCTTTGCTTTTAGAGAAAGCATATTTAAATCTATCCAGCTGCACCAAAAATGCTGCAGTAATCCCATCTGTCCAGAGTATTTTGCAAATGTCATCCTCCCATGCCTTTTCTCTTTCCTCCATTTTGCCATATGGAAATTCCACACAAACAAAAGAGGAAACTGAAAGTAACCGCACCTCAAGGATCAACTGCACACACAAAGAATAAATTTCTGTTGGTCTGCATTTAGTTACAATCTTAGAAACACTTGCAAGAATAATGCATAAAGTGAAACAAAAGCATCATTCTTATTTGCCTGCATGTTATCAAGGTATTTTCTCAACTAGATTCCATAAACATTCTTTTCTCAGAGTGTTGCTCTGAGTATTTTCTCTCTCTAAAAGTAACTGATCTAGTTTATCCATATTGTTCCGGAACAAAGAGTGGGAATCAAGTATCTTTTTTTCTGACATCACTAAATGAGCACTTAGGGGCTGGGCAAACGAGCATTTGTAGCACAGACACTTCTCTCATGTTAGAAGGAATTAGAATTTCAGGTTAAAAGGCAAAACTATGTCACAGCAAGACACACATTAACCACCCCATTCCCAAAGCCGTGGCTAAGAGCAGCACAGATTCTGGCAGTGAGGGAAGAGCACCATGACCTGCCAGCACCACGAAATTCAAGGGATTTAAGGAATCCGATCCCATTAACTGTCAGAGACACCAAGAATTCCAAAGGAGACCACAATCCAGAGATAATGAGATCTTTCCCATTCAAGTACTGGATTAATGAAGAGAAGCTTGGGAGAACAAGAAACCACACCCAGAATTCAGGCAAACACAGAAATCCAGTTTGAGTTTTCCAGTGCATCAGAACTTTTTTACCTTCACTGAGCTGTATACATTACAGTCCAGGACTCTATCTGGGCCCACTCAGAGGAGACCCTCAACTGAGCATCTGTGTTTTCCTGGAATTCTTTCAAATAATGTCTCTGAAAGGACTGAGAACGTCTAGGCCCCAAAGCCACAGTGTAACATAATATAGAGAGGTTTTCACAGAATACACAAAATTCACACGGCACCCCAAAAAAAAAAAAAAAAATCACACAAATTATACAACTCAAAGTTAGGTCACATTAATTCTTACTGGTCAGCAGGCTGCCCACAGAATTCCCCTAGGATCTGCACAAGAACTTCTGACTGGACATAGAGAAAGGGAACCCCAAAAGCCATCAGCTGACACATGAAAAAGGAGTCCAAAGGGTTCTGGGCTACCTGGTGCCCAATCGAAGAAACTGTGCTTTGCAGGCGCTGGCTTGCCAGCCTAACTCTGTGAAAGAGGCCGAGAGAGAACTGCACCACCCTGCTAAGGAAGGAAGCGGAGCTACCTGGGGCCCTCTCTGCTGAGGCCTGGATGGCATTTGCCCGTCCACTTCCATCACTTGCCATGGCGTCCTGCAGAGCTCCCTTGGTGTCCTGGAAAAATGGGGGAGAAATTAAATTAATATTAAAATTGAAAACGCCTCAGCAAAACTTTGTTTTTTACGTGAGGCTGTATGTACTGAAGATGTTGAACTAGAAGTCCATCCCTCTCACAATTAAGATAACCCTTTAGCATCATGCAAGATTTGGTCTGAACTACGTTCTTTCTCAATTTATGGCTTCATGAAAGCTCTGAAAAACAAGCTGGATTTCCAGAAAGTCAAAGCCACAAGATCCCTGCTCATCTGGGAAATAAAACAAAAACCATTTTCAGTCTTTCTTTTTGGCAAGAAGCATAGCACAATATTGGGACAGCTCTCTTAACCTTCCAAAAAGAAGGTGTACAGCTTCAGCTTGTACTAATAAAACCTGAGAAACAGGCAGAAAGGCAAGCACCACCACTACCACAAAGGAGAATTTAATTTAAAGGGAAAGGACAGCTCATAGCAAGCAGGCTTAACAGAATTTGTTAGGAGACTATTTTATCATTTGCTCAGACAGAAATACTGAAAAGCAGGTTGAGGATACAAATTAAGTGCTTCGGATTGTAAATAGAAAAGCTAGGAGACTTTTCTGTATTACACAGTGGGTCTTGATCCTATATTTAAAGCACAAATGCTTCAATTATGACAGTATAGGAAAAGAGACAGCCTTTCTTTCCACACAGGTTCCCATTAACACTCAGAAAACAGACAGACACGAATACAGGTCTTCATAGCCTATGCAACTGGGGTAGAACTTCATGTTCATTTTAAGAAAAAACATGCAGAAAACAAAACAAAACCAAAACTGGCAACTTAATTCATTTAGTCTCTGCCTGGACTGAGTAAGTATTTCAGCTGACAAGAAAACAATCAAAATCCTGTACTAAGTGGGACAGTACATTATTTTATAATAAGAAACATGAAAAGAAGAGAGTGGTAAGTAAAGGAACTGCTTTTAAATACAATTTATAGAACTGTAAGATCTCAGGACATAAAAAAGCAACTCCTTGAACTCTGAATTCTACTTTCTGAAAAAGAAGCTGGCACATTTACTTTTCTAATACTAGGAATCAAAACCTATTAACATGACATGTTAGATGAAAATAATGAGTTACCTTTCCTGACAGAGGACCCACTGCTGGCCTCTTCCTTTGAGCATAACTAGAGAGTCGGTAACAGTAGTGAGGCTTACAGTAGAATTTACCTGCAGATAAAGTACAACAGGTGGTCAGCAATGAGAACACTGCAGTTTAGCACAATATAAATGTCCATTTCACTGCAACTTATTTTTCTCCTGCCATTCCCCTTGCTCCATCTAGTTGATTCACTATACATGGAGGCAAACACTATCTGAAGTTTTCACTCCAGCCCCCCTCTCTCCCCCTCCTAGCTAGGGTCCATTCCATTGGGTGCCTGACAGCCATTCAGTTTAAAATCCCATCAAACACTAAAAGCAAAGCTGTGAGGCTTGTGTGGTATCACATGCTAACAATGCGGCAGTGTGTGAGAAACAAAGAGTTCATCACATGAAAAGCTGGCAGAAGCACTTTTGGAAAAAGCAAGAATGAATACAACCAGCAGAGAAAAGGGGAAGAGAACACTGTTAACTCCCAAAAAACCATCTCTAAAAATGCACAGTGGCTACTTGTGGAAAGGACAATCAACCAACGATTCATCTATACATTTAAGACCTTTTGTGATACTACTGGCTTAGTAACACCCCAGAAGCCTACATGGGTTTTCACCAGTGACCGAACACTGCTAGGAAGCCAAAGCAACAGTAGTAATACCATAATACAAATATTAAGAATAGCAGCAAATGGATGGCACATAATTATCCTACAGTGTACAGTCGTCAGTGTATCCTGTTTGGTATATACAGCCCATAGCATCCCCTACTGCTATCTTATGCCTGCAACTTTGCTAACGCATTTCAAACTTATGTTCTGATCCTTGTCCCTTCCCCTAGTTTGCTTGGGCTGGTACTTGCACGATGCTTTGTTTTATGATGGAAAAGTGACAAACCCTACCTTCAAGAAGTCTCTGCTTAAACATTTTTTTCATATTTACTCATTCCAAAAACTGCTCTTTCAAACTTTCTGAAAAGAGCAACAGAAAAGCTCTTACATGAAAACTCTCAGACGTTGAAGCCTAAAACCAGACAGACTGCTGAATGCTGCAGAATGTTCATCAGTACAAACAGCTAGATGAATAGCAACAAATGCATATATAGCTGTTATTTTTTATCTCGAAAAAACCCAGAATGAAATACAAACTGAATTTTCACAACTACTAGATTAGAACTGCTAGGCATGTTAATAACATTTCAGAATTGATGTTCTAAGCGTGCAGAAACTCTGAGCTTTGTGTTTGCTTCATTGAGAACTATCCAACCATCAATGCATCCATAAGCTTGCTGGCAGAGGGAATCACTAAGCCTGATGGCAAAAACTGTTTCAGTCCATACAGCTGTCAGAGAAACTCCATCTGTTAATAATTCAGTTATTTGTGTATGCCCAAAATAACAGCAGTGATCAAAAAAATGCTTTCCCCCCAACTCTGATTATTGACGAAGCTGTTACTTTTAGACGCTGATTTCAAAACTGTAACTTCCCCCTTTAAACTCACTTGCCAAGTCTGCTGACCTTTAGGCCAAGTATTAATGGGTTTCCTTACTGAGAAACGGGTTTGATGATTTTAAGTTTCCTCAAGTCTTCGTGACCAAGAAAGTCCATTACTTAAAGTCATTATATAATGCATCATCAATACATAATTTTGGCTCTTTTTGCCCCTTAAGCCTAGATGGTTTTTCCACGGCCATTCTTCTATCCAATATATGCAAAAATATTTTTCCTAGCTACATGCAGTGGATGCCTATTAATTTTATAACATTTCAATCTGCAATAGAGTATTTTGGAGTTTCATCCTGTAGCATATCAGTTTATGATTTTTATTTCATCTTTGCCACATTGAGTGGGGAAAGCTATCAGTACTAACACTTTTTTCTGTTATTTTGGTTTCTACACCATTATGTCTAGAGTAAAATCCTTTCTACCTAACCTCTCACTAGCTTTACACGACTTTGCACATATTTTCTTATTGAAATAAGAGTAAAGATAAATGGTAGGTGTGGAAGATAATAAAGGCATACCTGCTGATATAAAGACACGTGTATCTGAGATACTTTCTCAGATTTTTTTCCTCAGAAAACAAGAAATTTCTGCCAGTCACTGCTCAAGCAAAGAATGCAACACATTGCTGCTCTTGAAATAATTTTTACAAGTGATGTGTGCTTTGAAATTAGTACTTTCGGTATACACACCTTGTTGATATATTGAGTTTCATCTGTCGCTATATTAAGTGTTATCTCAAGCTTCCTTTAATTCTTGTGTTAGATTCTGTTAATTGAGTCATCACAAGGGTCTAGCCTTCAACCTCTGCCTCCAAACCCTTTTAAAGCCCCCAACTTCTATTTGTTTCTTATTCTAGCAGCTGTCATTACATTAAATTAATTCATAACAGCTCAGTTATTTTCCGGTTGGCATGACCTGACCACAGGAAATCCATGTTGTTTCAACATTTTGAGAGATAATGCTTTTGGAGTAAGAGTTACTCTCTTCCCTAACTCACCAGATGATTTTTAAGCAAAAAGCAAGCTGAAATCACTAGACAGACTTCTAGGACAGTTAAGAGAACTCTGATAAAAAGGCAGTTTCTCTTACCATCTTCAGTATCGTAGGCGTACGATGACAAGCGCAGAGTTGTTGCGCAGTATTCACACTTGAAGCAACTACGGTGGAAAAACTTGCCTTCAGCACTCAGCCTTTCCATCACATAGACTCGCTTGCGGCAGAAGTAACAGACATCACTGCCTCCCAGGTTTTGGGGGAACTCCTTTTTGAGCGAACCCTAGACAGAAATAGGCATGGCTAAATTTACATGCATCCAGCCTCACCAAGACTGCACGGTCATATTTTCTCTTCATTTATGTGGATACAGGAGCATCTGGATGCTGAAGTTTTTCATACATGGATGCTGCATTTCACGGACACATTCTACAGGCTTAAACAGGACACAGAAAACTAACCTTATTGTCCAGGGAAGGTCCTAGGATGCCATGCCTACATATGTCAGGAGTAAAATTTGCTCTGTATGGAAGAGCAGGCACCAGTACTACTAATTATGACCTTGAAATAAATGACTGAAGGAAGCATATGGTGGGAACTGTAGGAAATCCCTCAAACTGCAATTCTTAGACGTACATTATCAAAATCAGTATCTCCCCCACAAAACAATGATGCAGAAGTATTCCTAGTGGACCAAACACATCTTCATAAATATGACTAGCATTTTCTCAAATGTTTATGCACACCTCTTGGATGCTGAGATTAGATTACAAATTTTGTAAGGGAAAAGAGAACAAGAGTGATGGAGAGATGGAGAAAGAGATACTAAGTCTTTCACAAAGCTCTGTCAGATTCTATCAGTGGTAGTAACAACTAGATACAATACCTCAGATCTACTTCAGATCTACTGTACATCTAATCACAAACACACATCATCTTCTGTACATGGTCTTACCAGTTCCTTCTTGTCTAGAAGGCTTTTGGGTTGCTCTTTCCTTTGAAGCTGATTGGCTATCTGCTCAGCCAATGAGCTCACTCCGCCTGTGTACATCTTTATGTACTTCTACCAGATGGATGGAATAAAACAATAGGGCAGTGAGAAAAGGAGGAAAAAAATCAAATTAAAAGAAATTACTAAAATGATAATAGGTTAGGTGGTGAAAAGGTGCAGAGAGGTCAAATCATGCCAAGACAGTGGACAATATGAAGTGACAAGCATAACAGCAAAGCTAGTGTCATCAGAAATCACCCATACAGTCCAGCATCAACTGCAACAATGGAAAAGAACACTTGCATTTTGCATTGTGCAAGTGCTCTGGAAATACTATGATGATGAAAAAAGTAAATCTTACTTTCACTTGTAGGGTATTTTGCACCTGGAAACTTCTCAAAGATGAGGCCAAACACCAGTTAAGATTTTAAGTTCCAGGTAAAATCAGCATTAGAAACAAGGATCTTTTAGAAGGCAGATAACACAATCTAATGCAACATGCTGATCACAACAGCATATTTATATGCTTAGCAACTGGAAAAATTTCATTTAGAGAACACTCAAAGTGCAGGGAGAAATTCTTATCTAAGAAGCTCACAGTGATTCTAAAATACAAATTCTTCCAATGCTAAAAACACCAAGGTTTATATGAAGAGAGATGCAAGAGCCTCGTCCAATGCATTAAAGCCAGACCTGCACGCACCTGGAACATAACTTGTCCATTCTTGAACATGGCTTTATAACTAGGTTTTTATCCATCATGGATATTGACTTGACTCCATAACTTTGGATACCTTAGTATTACAAGAAATCTAAGCAGGCTGGCTGTTACCTTAGATGGTACAAAATGAGTGTTTGCAAGCCAAGTTCAGTCACTGCTGAAGTGGAGGAAGTGTTTTTCGCAGGCAATACTTAAAACTGTTGGCAATAACTACATGGGTTAAGAAAATAATGTGGTGACACCGCTGTTAGCTCAATCACACTGCGAACGCCATGTATTTGTCTCAGAGCAGCAAGGAGCACACCAAGCAATTTTCCTTTTTCAGACTAAGCAGCATTATCATTGATTCTCAGTGAAGTCTCCCCAGTAAAGAGGGGATCATCAGATAGACACTTCAGCTTCTGGCAAGTGTAAAATACCAAGGATATCAGTATTCTGAAGAAAAGGACTGAAACTGTTTCTCAAAAAAACCCTTTTACTCATACAGCAGAACTTGTTTTAAACACAACCAATTATAAATGTGTCGTTATCAATCTTTTAGGAATGTTTAAGACCTTCATGTGTTCAGATATTAGAGCAGCAGGAAGCATCACAAAAATGAAATTCATGACAGAATAGGTGGTACTTCAGGGGAAAAAAAAAATGTAAATGGAGTGCTCAGCCATCAGAGATTATCCCTGCTACCATTTAAGTCCTAATTCCTTAAGCTCTGAGCCACTGCAGTAATGAGGGTTTATTTTCACCCAGGAAGAACTTCTACCTGACTGCTGATTCCACCCCGAAACTAAAGAGCATTCACAGTATTTATACTTGCAAGAAATAACAACATTTGTCTTTCAAAGTTTTCCAGCTTCCATATTTCTCCTCAGCTAATGTGTACACACACCTATGTGCAGAGTTACCATTCAATGTCATACATGATATCTTGACAAATATTACATAAAAAATGGTTTCCACTGGAAAAATTTTCTTCCTTTCATTCAACATTGATCTTTAATGAGCAACCATAATCATCTGGCCAAGGGTTTTCCACTTTCCTCTAAAAAAAAACACTTTTGAGGATTTTTAAACTCTCTTTAAAAATAGTTCAAGTTTCTCCATGGGAAATAAATACTTGTTTTAGCTGAACCAGGTTTCCATAAACAAGTTTTCCTTTGAAACCTTCATCCAACCTTAACTGCAGATGCTTCAGAATCTTTAAATTTCTATCAGCACACACTAAGTTCCACACTTAAAAATTGATCATATGCTAATCTTGACTCACAATACCTTTGACTATTTGGTGTGGGAAGTTCAGCTGCTGAATTTTTCATCTGGGGTTCTATGTTTCCGATTAGTTTTGCTTTTTTTCTTATACATCACATCTGGCCTAGTACCGGGTCTTTGACAAAGGACTTTATCTTTCCTCCAATGGCCAAAGCCTTCAAGATCTGAAACATTCTGCCACATTCACAAGAGCAGGCAAAGAACCCTCCCCAGGTTAAGTCAAATCAAGTTCCTGGTATTTATGTGTGGCAACTGCAACTAGTTCAAATTCTCAGTGATTTTTCAGAAAGCCAAAGTACTTTTTATTTCACACTGTCCATTAAATATAAACGTACAAACACATTCTGTAGTTTGGCCCAAGGTCTCAAAAAAACAAAGCAGCAAGCAAAACAAGAAAGCCTTACTGCAAAGCCAGAAGGACCATCAGTGCTCAAAAAAACTGACTTGAGTGTGAGATGTACCACAAGGTTACACATATTTAGTGTCCAACTGCTTTATGGCTGCCATGAATCCAGCTACACCACAGGTTGCCTCTGGCTTCTCACTTGTGCACACAGAATATGCACACAGACATCGCATTCTGCAGGTGAAGCACTGCAAGCCCAACCACCTCCTGTGGTGTGTCCTCAGCTGGTGGGACTGGGGTGCAGCAAGCAAACACAGCTGAGTGCACCTTGCAATGCTCAGGCTAGTGCTACCTGTCGAAGAGAGTCAGCTGAAGGTGAAGAAGGGCGATTAGAAGAACGGAGGCTAAGGGAGAGCTCCCACTGGTCAACAAAGAATCGGCGAGACGGTTCAGTCTCAGGCTAAAAAATAAAATAAAAGTCAAAACAATCATACATAGCTACAGAGAGAAGAGAGGAGAAAACAGAAAAAAACCTCAAGCCCTTTTGCCCATCATCAAGAAAAATTTCTTAAGGTCTCTTGTATGAAAGCTTGGAGGAAAATGTACAGTGTATCTTCACTTTCTACTAGTGAGGTAGAGTAAGTTACTCTAAATTTTACTCTTTACTAGTAAAGAGTAAAAAAACCTAGTAAAATTCTTTACTAGGTTTTAAGTTATTTAGGACCAGTTTAAGTTATTTGGAAGCAGTTACCCACTTCCACTGACATCTAACCTCCTGTAACCCAATTAACTAAGCCACTGGCAAAGATATCAAATCAATTTCCTCTGCTTCTTCTATATCTCCTGTTGTTCTGTATCACTTCTCTGAGACACTGAGATTACATTTCAGGCCATGTAAGACCTCCTCTGTGTCTTCACTACATAAACCAAAAGCCTGTTCTCCTTGGGGATGGAAGAGAAATAAATTAACTTGTATGCACTGCCAGAAATTAGCAGTAAATTTCCAACCTACAACTTACTGTAAGCAGATTAGAAACATCATGCTAGAAGTAATGAGACAATACAAAATGATCTCCTCTTCTTGCTTATCAAATGGCAAATAATAAATCCCAACCTGAGAATCTGCACCCTCCTGAGGCTCGTTCCTTACAGAAGAACCCAAAATTTGGTCTTCCAACATACCCCTATCATTATGTCTATGGCTCATTATGTCTGTATCTCAAGGAACACTTCACATAAATAGGAAAAAAAATAAATACTATCAGACAAATAGAGCTGATAGAAACTGTATATTCCTAGAAATTATAATCTGGAAAGAAAAATTATGCCAATTCCAAATATTTGACACTTTCACAAGAAAAATATGGGTTTTGTTATAAAAAGGAAGAATAGATGTCATGTAAACATCTATTTTTAGCCACTTAGAACAGTCTAGACTCAAGATGAAATCTACCAGACAAAATACAAAATAGCTTGATTTTCACAATTTCCCCAATTTAAACAACTATAACTGTTTATTTATACACATATTTTTTGTGTATATATATCTGTGTATATATTATTCTGTATTTAAGACCAACAACACTGAATCAAATTTATTTTCTGAAAGTGTCTGTCTTTGCTAAGCTTTCTTTCTCTTATTACTCTGGTTTTCTTGTTTTCTTCTCTTAAATCCCGCATCATAATCTACCACTGCCTGCAGTGTTCCAACATCTGTTTCCTCTTTTTCCTCTCTGCCCTACCCACTTTATCCTTTCCACTACTTTGTTCTCTTTCCCCTCTACATTTTCTCTCCTCCTTAATTCTGCACAACAGAAATTACAGAGCTTGAAAAATAATTTATATCTTTACATTGTAATGCTGTTAATCTTTTCCACCCTCAAAAGCAGCTTAAAAGTGCTAGAGAGCAATACAAAAGTAGGAGTAAGATGCTTTGGTCTGGGTGTTCTTTATCATCAT